GTTTTAAGTAATTGCCCCATATAGGACTAAAAGAGAAGACAAATTCTCAAATAGGACTATGTATGTTTTTTTCCCCAAATAGGATTTATTTACTCCTATTTTAAAACATCCGTATATTTCATTCCATTATTACCCCCTTATCCCTTTAAGCACATCTCCCCTCCCCTGCGCACAACCGTTTCCCCTTCTCCCCTACGCACGTCTTCTCTTTCTTCCTTGCGCATCATCGATCGGCTTTACCTAGGCCATCGCCGCCGCCATCGACTTCACCTTGCGCACCAGATCGATCGAGTTCCTCTCACGCCGCCGATTTCACCGCTGCCATTAAGGTTCTCCTCCTCCTTCTTCTTCTTCTTCTTCTTCTTCTTCTTCATCTTCTTCTTCTTCTTCCTCTTTCTCTTCCTCTTCCTCTTCCTCTTCCTCTTCTTCTTCTTCGATTTTCCTCTGTTTTTCTGGATTTTGAATTGAATTTTCCAATTTTTGGACTTCTGTTTTGCCAAATTTCGATGTTCTGGTTTTTCAAACTTCTATTTCGATGTTCTGGTTTTTAATTTCAGAGTTTTAAAAAAAAATCGATTTTCATAAATTTTTGGATGATTGCTTCAGATTTGGCCAAGTTTATGGCAAAAATTGGTTTTGTATAAATTGGTTTTTCTATTTTTTGTCAATAGCTTCGTTTTTATAAATTATGATTGTGTTAATACGCTTGTTCCATTAAAAATTTTAGTTGTTTGAATATTTGGTTATTTACTTCGTGTTATTTTTTTGCCAAATTTTTGGCAGTTTTGTGTTATTATGCCAAATTGAATCTGCCAACTTTTTTGGCAGATCTGAAACATTTGTTCATGGCAGAAGTGAATCTAATCCTCAATGCTAAATCTGCCAAGTTAATGGCAAATTATTCCGCTTGAGTTGTCACTGTCGTGGCGGTGCTCAGAGGATGGTGGCTTGGGTGGATGGTGACGCTGGTGTGTGAGGCGGCAAGGGGCGGCGATGGTGTGTCGGCAAGGATGCAGTGGCAAACAATAGACGGAGAGGGCGGCGATAGGGGGCGCCGTCGCCGGAGAGGGTGGCGGCAGGTTTCACCTGCGAGGGGTGGCGGCAGGTTTCGCCAGCGAGGGGTGGCGGCAGGTTGCGTCGGCGAGGGGTGGCGGCAGGCGGTTTGGCTCTTGTGGCGGCAGTGCTACTGCTAGGGTTTCAATAATTTTTTATTTTACAGTTTTATAATTTAAAAAAATAAAAGAGGGGTATTTTTGTCCAACTGTATTGAATTTGATCCTATGAAAGTTGTGTTTCGTATGTGGTCCTAATTGTGCAATTAACTTTGCTATTAGTCCTATTTGAGTCATTAACTCTAAAGTTTTTTAAATTGTAAAAGTTTTTTATTTTAAATGCTTTTTAAAATAAAGTTTTGAAAAATAGGGTTCTCCTACATTCGGATATGGCACTTCCGACTAGGGTTTTTTTTTTATTCGTGGCGGAATTGTTAATTCTGAATATATGTTTTTAAAAAATTGTAAAAGTTTTTGATTTTATATATTTTTGGGTATTATGGGAAATGCAATCTTCGACCTAGTAAAATTAGCCTATATCATGAACACGAATTGTAGAATTGACAATGATTTACTTAACATATAGATGGAATTTTAATATTCATACTTGTGATTCACATTTTTTAGGCCCGGATCATAAAACCTCCAATTCGACCTAGTAAGGACACAATCATTCGAATTTTATGCAATCAGCCTATATCATGAACAAGAGTTGTGAAATTGACCATGAGTTACTTAATATATAGATGAAAGTTTAATATTAATACTTGTGTTTCACATTTTTTAGACCCGGATCATAAAAACCCCCAATTCGACCTAGTAAGGATACAATCTTCTGAAATGAAATTAGCATATATCATGAACACGAGTTGTAAGATTGACAATAATTTACTTAATATATAGATGGATTTTTAATATTCACACTTGTGTTTCACATTTTTTAGACCCGGATCATAAAAACCCCAATTCGACCTGGTAAGGATACAATCTTCTAAAATGCAATTAGCATATATCATGAACACGAATTGTGAAATTGACCACGAGTTACTTGATATATAGATGAAATTTTAATATTCACACTTGTGTTTCACATTTTTTAGACCGGATCATAAAACCCCCAATTCCACCTGGTAAGGATACAGTCTTCCGAAATGCAATTAGCATATATCATGAACACGAATTGTGAAATTAACCACGAGTTACCTAATATATAGATGAAATTTTAATATTCACACTTGTGATTCACATTTTTTAGACTCGAGTCATAAAAACCCCTATTCAACCCAGTAGGGATACAATCATTTGAAATGTAATCAGCTTATATCATGAACATGAGTTGTAGAATTGACAATGATTTACTTAACATATAGATGGAATTTTAATATCCATACTTGTGATTCACATTTTTTAGACCCGGATCATAAACCTCCAAATTAACCCAATAAGGGCACATTCATACGAATTTTATGCAATCAGCCTATATCATGAACACAAGTTGTGAAATTGACCACGAGTTCCTTAATATATAGATGACAATTTAATATTAACACTTGTGATTCACATTTTTTAGACACGGATCATAAAAACCCCAATTCGACCCAGTAGGGATACAATCATTTGAAATGTTATCAGCCTATATCATGAACACGAGTTGTAAAATTGACAATGATTTACTTAACATATAGAGGGAATTTTAATATCTATACTTGTGATTCACATTTTTAGACCCGGATCATAAATACCCCTATTCGACCCAATAGGAATGCAATCATTTGAAATGTAATCAGCCTATATGATGAACACGAGTTGTAAAATTGACAATGATTTACTTAACATAATTAGATAAAATTAATGAGATAAAATATAATCAGATAAAATTGTATCAAAATAAATATAATCAGATAAAATATAATAGATAAAGTATAATGAAATAAAAAATAACAGATAAAATAAAATCAAATATAACACATCAAACTCCTGCAGTCGGAACTCTTAAATCCGACAGGAGTTAATTTTTTTTTTCAAATAAACTTTAAAAAGAATTTGGTTAATGTTTTAAATTTAAAAGTTGGATAAATTTTTAAACATTTGGATAAACTTTCGGCCAAGCCATATTTTATTAAGCTTTCATTTAAACACCCCCCTGGTCGGAAGTGGCATATCCGACAGGAGGAAAGAGTTTTTTTTAGATTTTTAAAACTCAAAATAAAAAACTTAACAATTTGCAAAAAAAAAAACTCCTAGTCGGAAGTCCCTAATCCGACAGGAGGAAAGAGTTATTTTTGGAAACCCTACCTCTAGTCGGAACACCCAGTTCCGACTCCCGTTGTTTGGTAAAACCTAGAAAAATTCCCGGATTTTGGCAACCTCAACCCCTTTTTCCCGTATTTCGGTAAAACACCCTAAAATAAATTGTTGACTCTCTCATAAAAAATTGGATGATAAACTTTGTTTTTGGCCTAAAATGAAGAACTATCTAACTGATATCCCGTCAAGTAGTTCGATCATTTCTCACTAATGTAAATAAAGTGTTAAAAAAAGCGAGTGAAACAAAAAAATGAAGATCTGAAAAGCTTTGGAGGACATGAAGAACATTTTGAGAAAGGGGGAGTACTAAAATATTGGAAGAAAAACAAGAATCTGATTCCCACCTGTAAAGGTAATCGGATACAAAGGATTCCATTTTCCAGTTCGTATCAGACACAAATAGATCTTTCTTTTAATAGACGGTAGGTTTATGAAGCAGGCCGTACGGAGGCCTCAAATTATCTTTGGGAATGAGAGTACCATTTGCATTAATGGTGTCATGGCTGTCGTTCTTAATTACTAGGGTTGCTTGCTACTCTTCTTCTTGCACCGGCTAGCTAGGGCAATCTGATACCCTACCTTCCTTTTCCAGGTTATGTTTTTTATGTTTCCATCACTGTAACTTTTTATGTTTCCATCACTGTAACTTTTTCATGCAAAATTGTACTGCGTAATAGGTTTAAGTATATGTATGTCTCATACAAAACTCAGACAATACTATCTTCGTCCCTTAAAACTTTGCCAAAGTTGATCGGCACAGAGAATAATAAAGTAAAAACTGTGTTGTTGAGGTTTGTGCAGAGAAAAGAGAAATAACAGAAACCACAAAATAATTGATTAAAAGGGAAACATGAGTAAAACAGTTTGAAAATTCTAAAATAGGATGTCATGTTTTTATTCCCAAATTATGATTAATTACTGCCATGTTTTGTCAGTACCAAACTTCAAAAATGACATTATTTTCTAAACTTGACAGTAATTACTCATATTTTGGGAATAAAAAACATGACAGTTCTATTTTGGAATTTTCAAACTGCTTTAGTCCTATTTCGAGAATTTTCCCTATTATATAATCCTTGTAAAAAGGATTACACATAAAAAGCCACACACAATCCTGGGTATATGTTTGTTATCGTCAAATTATACCTGCGAGGGTAACTCAATTGATTGAGTTGTAGGAAAGTTAGAATATTGATCGACGATTGAAATCCACAACTGTTGCGTGAATATTACAGCTCATGTGTTGGGTTACACATCTAGTGCGCACAGATATAAAAACTACTAACATTGGGTTGAACGAGTGATCGTGACTAGCTTAAAGAGTTTTTGGGGTTGGAGATTCAACATTTTGGAACATTGTTATCATCAAAACAAATTAAATGCAAAAAAAAAGAAATAAAAAGAATTTATTTACTATATATATATATATATATATATATATATATATATATATATATATTTATGTACGATCAATTCAAACCAAATTAAGGATGTTTTTACTTGGACTATAATTTGTCGGTCTGATCTGATCTTGTTTCTTTGTATTCTTATAACTATCCAAGTCTGGTCTAGATTGGTTCGGGAGGAATTACAATCCAAGTAAAAACATCATAAAACAGTTTTTAATGACCATTCATCCCCCTGAAATCCCATCATTTTAATATACATAGCATAATAATTGTAGTAATAATTATGGCAATAATAACGATAGTAATAACACAATAATAAAATAATAATCATAAGTAACACATAAACCAAAGAACTGATCTGATAAATCGGGAACTCAGCTGCCATGCCATGCCATCCCCACCCATACCCTATGAAATCTTTGTGATTCTACTTCTCTTCTTGATGATAAAATTGACAGGTACACTCAGTAATGGTAATAGTACCTCATCATCTCAGTCTCATCTATCCTGGAATCTATCTTCCTAACATTTTCAAGACAATCATTGTTAAAACTAATGCAACTATTCCCAAAATACCCCCCGCTATTTGGAAGTTGATAATGATGGTGGTCAACACTAGCACCAGCAGCTCCTGCATACTGTAGCAAGAACTTGTGGCCCTGGCCAATCTGACCCTCTTCAAGCCCACAGCTGCTATTATTATTCCCAAAATGCCCATATGTGGCCTGTAAAAAACAAGTGTTCAGTAGCTGCTGCTGGTTGTGATCACCTTCAGCTTCTTCTTGCTTGATATCTGGTTTGCTTCCATTATAAGATGAAGAACCACAAGCCTCACTAGTTCCCCCATATGTGGCAAGATTCATATCACTACTGTTAAGTTCACTACCAAAGTGAGTGAGATTAACGAAACCCTGATGGTCATGGCTGTAAGAAAAGGGTTGATCTGCAAAGCCAGAAAATGAACTGTTTGGAGGGGTATTTGTGTAAAAGGACAGTTCTTGGGCGTCTGAGGGTGCTTGAAGAGAAGCAGGTGTAGTTGAAGAAGAGGACTGAAAGAGTAGTGAAGATGAAGATCTTGTTGATTTCGGCTGATTTGAAGAAGCTTGGTTATTATTTGTGTTATTATTACTGAGCATAACATTGATGAGTTTCTTCTTGAGTTTGGTGTTCCAGTAGTTCTTGATATCATTATCTGTCCTTCCTGGTAATTGAGCAGCTATTACTGACCACCTGCAGCATGCCATTCACATTTTTAATTATTTCCTAAGTTTATCCATATCAAGACTATACTAAAATATGGGGTTTTAACTTCCTGTTAAAAGTTCCGAAAAGATTGTATTTATAAAATGTGTGTTTTTTATAAAATGATTAAATGAATACAGGAAGCTAAGCTACTAGACTGTTAAATGCTTCCATTGCAAAATAACTTAGATTCATAAGCTAAGGAAGAATATACTTCACCAATGTTTTACTATTGACATGGAAAAAAAGATTCTCTTTCTTGGCTTCTTTCCTTTTATAGTGGAAACACAGGGAGAATGGAAGCTAAGCAAGTACCCATAGATCTATCCAGTCCAAAGATAGATCTACACACATATATAGACACATACAATATACCTGCTTCCAATGGTAGCATAAATGGAGCAAATGATTCTATCTTCTTCATCAGAGAATTCACCATGCTTTATGTTTGGTCTAAGATAGTTTAACCATCTCAATCTGCAGCTCTTTCCACACCTCTTTAACCCTGAAAACAAAGCTCAGTTCAGCTTGTATATATACATCATCAAATTTTTGTAAATACTAAGAAGCTTACTCATGCAAGTGATTCTTGAAAATAAATCCAAGAAAATGGAGAGAAAGAGAAAAAGGTACCAGCTTTATGAGGGAGAGCTATCCAGTTTCCACCAGTGCCAAACTTGTGGATGAAGTCCTTCAGCTTGGCATCTTCTTCAGGTGACCATGGCCCTTTCTTGACATTTGCTTTATCACAGCAAGGAGCTCTCCCCATAACTGCTAGATCTCAAGCTAGATTTTTGTTTTGCCTTTCCCCTTCTTTAATGCAGTGAGAAATAGGGAAAGCTAATAATAACTTGTGAGAGTCTGTGCTGTGTTATGTGTAAGTGACGCCAGCTTATATAGATGGATTGATAGGGAGATAGAAGAATGAATTAAAGACCCTTTTGCAAATCCTAGAAGACCGAACTTGTTTGAGATTACGTCAGAAAGTATTTCATCTCTCAATCACTTTACTATTCATGGAGTTAATGTTATTGGTTTTTTAAATTTATGTAACACGTTTTTATTAAAATTTGAATTCGGTTTATTCCATTTAACCGGGTTTTACAGAGAGGTTTTCTTAAAACATTACTCTCTACGTCCCATTAGAAGGTTCTCGTTCAATATTCTCATCGTCAACTTAAATCTTTTTTAATCTTTTACTTTATAAATCAAATTTTTACCAAATTTACATTTTTTATCAGGCTTTGTAGCTGTTTTAATGTAGTTTCTGAATATGTTAATTTTATTTACTAAAAATAATCGAAGTGTGAATAGAGATTAAGTTATTTTATCATCAGTCAAGCATCGTAAACCATTCACGGGAACCTTCTAGCGGGACGGGGGGAGTACTTTGTAGTAGAATAAATTTTATGGATTAAAATGTACTTCATATTATTATTACGAGAACGTCATAATTATAGTTAGAGAGATTTACCTAAATAGGAGTAAATAAAAGGATAATAGCAACAATAGAAGTTTAAAGTTTAAATTCCCAATATAGGACTAACTCTTCCTATTCTACCCTTTCCTTTGTCTTTGATGATAGGATTTTTAAACAATCATTACAAAATATAAAAAAAATCAAATTAAAAAAATAAAAATCGGAAAAAAGAATTAAAAAATATATAGACCTCAACCACCACCTCAGCCATCTTCCAGCACCGCCACCTCCGGTCGCCGGAAAAGATTTCCAAGTTGGGAAAAAATATCATCATGATGGCAATTTTGAAGAGAAAGCAAGAGAAAGCTGGATATTTTTAAAGAGTAAAAATGTCATCTTTATGGCATTTTTAAAGAGAAATGTGTCATTTTTTACACAAGATGGCATTTTTTCCGGCAACCGGAGCCGGTGGTGCTGGGAGGTAGAGGACGCGTTGGCAGTGACCTACATATTTTTTAAATATTATTTAGGTATTTTATTTTATTTTTTAGATTTTAAGAAAAAATAAGTAACTTATTTATTATTTTTAATTTTTTTATTTTTATTTTATTTTTTCACATTTTCATTATTATTTTATAAATAAAACTATGATTTTCTTATTAATAAAATAAATCTATTGGAAATTATAGGAAGAGCGTAGAATGGGAAGAAGAGATATATATTAGCCCTATTTTGAGAATAAAAAGATTGCACTCCTATTGTTGAATTTTGGGCTTATTTTAATCCTATTAAGGGCTAATACCACTTATAGTTATTACTATGGAAAGTTGAACATATTCACATAAGTCACCAACAGTTCATAGTTTGGTCACTTGAACAAAAAGTCGTATATTTGTTTGACAATTGCAATAAAAAAAAAGTGAAAACACTTTGGTTGAGGTTGTGGAGAACCGCAGATTGAGAGATTAACAATAACAAAAATAAATGCATCACTTCAAAAGGAATGTGGTGAAACCGTGAAAATGTTGTGGTCAAATATGAAAACGAGCAAAATTGAGAGGAAGAGGGAGTATTATGTTTTAAATTTGTAGTTTCATATCAATATTATTAAAAATAAACTTTGATGTATGTTTTTATTTGAATTGATATGTTTATATAAAAAAGAATTTATATGTTTATATTAAGTCCAACCTCATATGACATTTTTAAATGTGATTTAGTTATGTCTCTTTATTTTGTAGTCTTATACGATTTGTCTTAAATTTTGTATGATATATTTACATCTAATCAAGTTGAACTACTTTGACATGAAAAAGTAAGAGGACGTTTAGCAGCATTCTGCATAATTACAATGCATGCGGAGTATATAAACGTAAAAGTTTTACATTGTATATAAATGCATGCGAATTTTTTTTGGACTAGTGTAAATCTAACACGCTTTTTAAAACATTTTGGATTGTATGAACTAAAATAATTTATATGAGGGTTATACTTCTATGCATGCTTTTTATGAAGTATTGCGTGTAATTTTAAAATAAATTACAAATCTAATCAAATAATATATTCTTAATTTGTAGTAATATTAGGTACGTATATAAAATGATTGTTTTCCCTTGTATGCAATCATTTTAGGTGTAAAATTTATTGTAGTTCAGAACGGTTTTAATTGTATTACAATTTTTATTTAGTGTGGTTTGCTTAAATCTGACGTTTATAATGGTCTGATAAACGTCTAGTGTATGTAAGCTTTACTATTGTCCAAAGCCTTACCTTATCTGCTTGATGTGGTGGTGTCTTTAAATTTGATCTAGTCTAATTTGATTTTATCTGAGAGTGAAATCATTTCAATTAAAATATCCTTAATTAATTAGGAATTTTATGAATTCAGGACTTGAAAGATAGATGAATTATCAATTCGGGACCTGAAAGATGAAATCTATAGGTATAGGACTCGAACGATGAAAACTATCAATCTAGGACCTAAAATTTCATCGGTTTTGATTTATTTTTTTTTTTTAATTTCGTTGTTAATTTTTGATAAACTTTTCTTCACAAAAGTTTTTTAGTTTCATAAAAATAAATAATATTAAAAAAAATCAAGATAAAAAAATTAATAAAATTTCGGACAACTTAGGTCCTAAATTGATACTACTTAGGTCCTAAAAATTCAAGTCCTAAATTGATAGTTTTTCATCATTCGGGTCATATATCGATATATTTCATCTTTCAGGTCTCAGATTGATAATTCACTTATCTTTCGGGTCCTGAATTGATAAAATTACTTTATTATTATGGTTGAATCAACTTATATTAACTGTCTAGAACTTTGACTTCCTCCCTCTCAATGTCGTGTTCACTTTTAGTATACATATATACTCCGTATTTATTAGGAATGTCAGTTTGTTGTTGTTGAACACTTGAACTTCGATTCTTTACTAATAATTTATTGGTGTGTATACTTGTATAGTTGTATATATGCTCATAAAGTGGGGTATTAATTCTCTTTTTAATAAAATATTACATTTATTGGAAAGGAGAATCTAATATGGGATATCGTATAAGAAAAGCGTGATCGAGTATCTAAAATTTATTTTTCAAGTATTACAGAAAAGAGATGCCTAGGAGGCTAGGAGCAATGTAAATATATTTTTAATGGTAGGCGTTACGTTTTAGCAAAAATAGTATGGAGTAACTTTTATTTAATAGCAGTATAGCAATGGTTCAACATTGAGCCAGTTTTCGATCTTGAGCGCCGTATGTATTCTGATTATTATTACATAATTCAACATGCGATGTTAAAAGTTAAATGTTTTGTAAAAATGATTGATATGGTTGATATGGTTTACAAAATATTTTTTCGGTATATTGTTGCGGAATCCTTTGTAATTAAAGTCTAAAACGGAGATTACAAACAACTTTGTTACGAATTATTGTCACAGAAATTTGTAACACTAGCGGCGTAACAAAGCTTTGTTATGGAAAATAAATCCATAACAACATTTGCTACGTAATTTCTTAGGTGTGCAGCCGTTACAAACCTTTGGCCGGCCGGCGGTAGGGTTGCTGCAATAACCATCAGTAACAAAAAGAAATGATTTTTTTAAAAAAAGTTAAATTTTCTTACGGAATGTTCCGTAAATTATATACTCCGATCCCTCCGTCCCGTTGGAATGTTCCCGGTTTGACCTACACACATATTAAGGAAATAAACTTACCAGGAGGTAAATTTTACTGTTTTGACATTGTTTCGACACTGTTTGGCACTGTTTCGACACTGTTTAATAATGTTTTGCACTGTTTAACTCTGTTTTGATGTAGGATAACTTTCCATTTAGGAAAATGGGAACTTTCCAACGAAACATCCAAAAAAGGAAAGCGGAAACATTCCAACGGGACGGAGGGAGTAGTGGACTGCATGGAATCCAAATTTAAATCTTTTGTTACATACAAAATCCATAACAAAGGTATTTATACGTAAAAACGTTATTCTTACTTCCGTAACAAACATTAATTCAAACAAAAAAGTAAAGAGTAACATCAATTAAAAAATACTCCCTCTGTCCCGTTGGAATGTTACCGGTTTGATCTACACATGTTAGGTAAATAAACTTACCAGGGGGTAAATTTTACTGTTTTGACATTGTTTCGACACAGTTTGGCACTGTTTCAACACTGTTTGACACTGTTTTGCACTGATTGACCCTGTTTTGATGTAGGATAACTTTCCATTTAGGGAAATGAGAACTTTCCAATGGGACATCCAAAAAGGGAAAGCGGAAACATTCCAACAACACGACGGAGGGAGTACGAAACAATAATACTCCGCATTAACTTGAGTAGGAAGGTTGGGTCGATGCACAATTTTGGGAATTCTTTAAAAGAAAATGAGGGAGCCCATTTCATAACAGTATAATAACTCGTCCCATTACCGGCGTTCCTATAGCTTGCATGAATATTCCATCATCTTCATAAAAAAAGAATGACACCTCATGGTTGAGCCCTCAACGTCAACCAGACAGTTAGACGTAAGGATTTAAATTGGATTTTAATCATAAGCTCGCAGATATAGAGTGAAGATCTGGCATTGATACTTGCATATGTCCTATGCATTTTAGCATAGTAACTTCTCACCACAGTTGCAAGGATTCAAACCCGAGACTTACCTGTTGCAACCTCTATCTATCAGTTGAGTCACGCACACCGGTTTTCATAATCTTCATCAATATCAAACTCTGCAGTATAACTACCTTCTGTTCTTTTACTTCATCATATTTCCTCTACAATAAAATTTTATCCAATTAATTTTTCTTTAATTTAACTTATGTACTCCGTAATATTATATGTATAAATTTGTACTTGAATCTCCGCAATTTGTGGGAGAGCCTCTCCCGTCTTTGGTATCCAACAAGTTTGCAACAAAACATATTTTTTGACTTTT